AGATATATATAGATACATAGATAGATATATATAGATAGATAGATAAGCCTTGCTTCTACATGAAATGTGTTTATTAACCCCTAAATGTCTGTTTTGTTCTCATCAAGGTGACTAAAGAGAACAGAAATGTTCTTCTACAAGACGTTTTAACAACTCTACAAGAATGTTTGAAGGCTTCAGCGTAAACTCAAGCTTTGAAGAGAAAACCTCAACATTTTCTTTATTTTTATTTTTCCTGACAACTCTTCTTCTGTGTGAGTGTGTAGCTTCACACAACCAGACTGTTTAAAACCAGGCAGTAAAACGAGGAGCGTCCAGAGTCACGAGTGTGTTTAAGTCTACAACTCAGTTTCTGTGTTTTTCCTTTAACCTCCAAATGGATTGGATGCTGAATAATTGATTTTGAGACGGAGCACAGCGGAGGGAATTATTCATTTAGAGCAGAAATTCCTGCTGAACAGCTCCTGTGTGAGCGAGAGTCCAGTTTTCTTTTTTGTCCATTAATAAGTGATGATTTAAAATAAAGAAAAGTGCAAACAAAGCAGAGATCTTGTTTCTTTCTCTTCTGGTGATAAAATAAGTAAAAGACTGAAGCTGTTTGTTCTCCTGTCCATGTTTAATGAGATTATATTTTAGCATGAAGGACTTTTGAAATGTCGAAAATGTGTTTCTAAAGGATTTTCCTCAACAGTGAAAGGTTTAATGCTTCAGAGGAACTTCAGAGTCTGCTTTAAGACTCTGTTGATGGTTATCATCTGTAGCCAGAGGGATCTAAAGTTGCTTTTCAAGAACTAAATAAAAGTAAAAATACATTAACAGAAAACAACTTTGGTAAAAATGAATTTTATTGATWAGAAAAGTACTGAAGTAAAAGTCAAAAACAACTCTTTTCATTAGTTCTGCTCTTATTTAAATTTGTACCGAGGTGCTAAATTTTACAATAAACAAGTAAAAGTATCATTTTTATGTTTTGAATAAAACAAAATAAAAGTTACCATTAAAAAATATACTTTGTAAAATTACAAATCCTAATAAAAAATTACTTCAGTACTGTAACATAGTAGATACTATGTACCTCAGAGCTGGCCCGTGGCATAGGCAGTGTAGGCAAACCCTAAGGGTGCCGTCCATCTGGGGGGCATCACAAACGGGACTAAAAAAATCTTTTATGACTTTTTTTTTTATCAGAGACTAGTTGATTTAGTCTGCAGAATAATCACTCAAGTTTATGAAAATGCAAAATATTTTATGCTGAATGCATCATATGATGCAGTCAAGACTAACTTCTGAGTAAATAAAAAACAAATTATGGAGAATGGAAGGTTCAGTTCTGATCTCAGATAAAGTTCAGGTTAAAGTCTGGTTCTACCTTCATAAAATACTAATTTTATGTTTTATTAATCCCAGGATTTTAGTAAAATCCTCTTCAAATGACTGAAAAATCAAGAGTTTTGAGTAAATCTTTTACTAGTTTTTTGGGGGGAGTATACCCCTAAACCCCCCTAGAACTGCTTCAGTCCACAGCTGCTGGCAGGCAGGAGGCAAACTTCTGGTATTGTGTTCCAGATTAATTGTTTTTAACTATTTTAATTGGACAACTTGGTTTCTAAAGATAAAAATAATATAAAATAAACTTTCATTTGGCATGTGAGTGTATGTTAATGCGTATTGAGATTAAAAAAATTGCACAAGAGGAAATCTTGTGGATCAGAAATCAGCTTGATCTGAAATCTTGCCTCAGGGCCAGCCCTGCTGCAGGCAGTGTGTCTGTCAGCAAAACATTTCATGAATCAGTCAGATTTAATGCAACCTACGTAATACGTAAAATTTAATCCATAAAATCATCCATAATGTTGGGGGGGTAGTATTATACTAGGATAAATATTTTTACTTGCGTGTTTTAATCGGCTTCATTCACAAAATGCCTGAGTCCGGAAATGAGACCGCGTCGTAAAAAAGCAGTTGAAACAAGCTCACCTCTGACACTCCTCCGTGCTTCAGAGTGAGATAATAACAGATCCAGGCAGGCGACATGGTATGAAAACAAAGGGGGGGCAGTCCTGCACTTTAGTAATGATAACGAACTAAAGACATTAGCGTGTGACCGAGCCGCTCCTCAAACAACAACAAACACATGTTCGTCTGTAATGGCTGCCGTCTACTGGTGTTCTGAAAAAGTTTGTATCCCTGAAAAAAGTTTCCCCACCAGAGGGGGCGCTCACGAGTAGGAAGTAATCTGCTTTTCCCCCATAAGATGGTCCAAATCTCATGTGAAGTCTCTGACTTTTGTRTTGGCGCCTCCTGGTGGACTATGTGTAAAAAAAAAATCATATGATGCTGCTACAGCTGATATATATTTGTTGTCAAAATACCTTTTAGTACATATGTTGTTAAAATAAAATGATTTTTTCAATGATCATTTTACTGATATGTATAAAGACTGCAAAGGATGAAAAATCTTGAAGTCTGTATGAAATTGGAGGTAGTTTGAGGATTCATTTTTTATGCTTTTTAAGCTCAAAAAAGTGGGGTCGTATTATACATGAGATCGTATTATACACGAATAAGAAATAGACTTCGATTACTTTCATACTCACTGGTGTGAATGTGAAGGTAATCAATATTCATGTTGCAGGGAAGCGTCTGAGCCAGATGTCTGTGTGGAACACTGCACCCGTTATCTCTCCACTCAGGGAGAGGACAGGAACACAAGGAGCTTAGACCAACAATCCAGGACAAAAGGGATTTTACTGGTTTGAGGGGGGGTGGGAGGTGATGTGCAGACTTCAGTTATTGCTCTGTGTGGTTCTGCCCAGGAGGCATTCTGACAGCTGTAGGGGGTGGGGTGGAGGGTTATGATGTATTGTGCCAAAAGGCCGAACACTGCTCCGGTGTTTCAGAAGTCGCAGATAAAATATCTGCTTCCAGGGAGGATTTATCTCAAAGATGTTTGAATAAATAAACTCGTCAGAATTTCTCCAAGCAGAAAATCAAAATCTCATAAACCGGGGATGGGCAACTGGAGGCCCGCGGGCCACATCCGACCCATAGGTGACTTCCGTCCGGCCCTTCAGTGGAATTTTTTTTTACTTACAAAAAAGCACTAATGTATAAAAATCTCCCAGTGGGACTGAATTAGTTGTAATGACAAAGTTCACCACGAGATCCAACACAGACGCCGCCTCTCGCACATGTATTCTGGTCAGGAAAAGGCTATTAGCATAATTTAGTTACTTTACAACTCTGCTTTTTAGCCAGAAAACAGCTGAAAGAATCAAACTAAAAATTCCTCTCATTGACCTGTTGTTAATTTCAGCTGTTTTATTTCTAACACTAACATTTACAGACTTTTGTTGTTCTCTGGGACTTTTCCCAGATTTGTTGCTGCCATCAAATTCAAAAAGATTTATGTTTTTTTTTTWAAGATATTACTGTGCAGTTTGATGTGTTTACTATGTTCCACTGTGGACACAATAATTGCTTTCTGAGTTTTTATTTCTGCTTTAAACAACATAACCTTTTAGGAAATGAAGTTGCGAATCCAAACGACTGCGTCCAAACGATCCGTAGTGTTGAAAACAATTTAGTGCCTGACTGAGCTAATCAGGCGATCGTATATCCATTAGATCTCAGTTCTTAACAGCTACACAGTAATCCACTCTGCTGCCCACCACTAAAACCTAAAACACTTTTCCCATTACATCGCTTTCATGAGCTCCCCAGGTCCGCTCCAGGCAGAAAGCGTTGGGTTTCAAAGCCTTCTTAATGACTGCAATTTAACATTTTGGAGCCTACAGGTTGAAACCCTAAAAGCAAAATTCAAAGAAAATAAAGAGCAGCATTGATTTTATGTTCTGTCTAAAAATACAGCAAAAGAAAAGTAAGGTTTTTTTTATTTTTTCWTAAAAGTTTCATGATTTCAGTCTAGCAGTTCCTTTGTTTTGAACAACTTTGCAACACATCCTGGTGAAAATCTGTCATTTGTGACGAGCTGTGCTTTCCCTCCAGAGGCAGAGGTCAGGGCCTGAGGACGTCTTTCTCCTGTTACGATACGCTGACGGTCCCTTCTGATCTCCCTGAATGCAACACGACCTGGCTTTAACCTCAGCTGTGGGAGGATGTGTCATGTGGTCAGACATTTACAGGTTAGACAGGAGAAACAACAAAATGTGCAGGAGCGCATGAACAGTTGGTGCTGGCCAGTTTCCAGTTTGTCTGAACATGACCCCGCCCCCCAGTCAGACAGAAAAAAGCCTCCAGAGTGTGCTGACATGGTGAGCTGTTTACTGTTTCTGCAGGGGAAGACACGTACACACAGACACACAATGTAGGAGCTGTCAGCGACTTGTAAAGGGGTCAAAGGGCAGAGAGGACACTCGGATCTGAGGCAGGGTGACCAATCGATTGGCTGATGTGGCGTCCCTCAGGGCGCCAGAGGATGTAGCCGTCACTGCAAACATGACTGAGAGGAAAACCAGAAAAATATCTTTATTATGAAGGTACAAACCGCTGTATAGTGTTTTACCACTTTAAGCTAGCGTTAAGCAACATTTACCTAGTGTTGTACCACATTTACCTAGTGTTATACCACATTTACCTTGTGTTGTACCACATTGAGCTAACATTTAGCTGCCACTTTTAACTTGTTTTATCATTTTTACTAGTGTTGTTCCACTTTGAGCTTCTACCTTACCACTTTTAGCTAGCATTTAGCTACTTATAATCTGTGTTGTACCACGTTTAGCTAGCATTTAGCTATTTATAACCATATTGTACCAGTTTTAGCTAGTGTTGAACCATTTTAGCTAGCATTTAGCTACATATAACCCATGTTGTACCACTTTTAGCTAGGATTTAGCAACTTATAACCTGCGTTGTACCACTTTCAGCTAGTATTTAGCAACTTATAACCTGTGTTGTACCACTTTCAGCTAGTATTTAGCAACTTATAACCTGTGTTGTACCACT